AGGGGGGGGGGCTCTTCTGTTAACTTGTTCACATCATGATCTCCCGGCGAGGTGTCTGGGTTGTGACAGCACCGTCGGAGGCGACCGCAGCAAAGTGACCAAAGCGGTCAGCGTCAAAGCAAGGCACAACAAAAGCCCGACGACGCGGCCGACGGGAAACACCGCGCGGGGTTCATTCCGTGAATATCATTTTTGTTTTTGCTGTTTCTTAGGGCTCCTCCGTAGCTCGTTACGCGGATAAAGTCATGTGTGCGCCTTCTGAAAAAGAACAAACATGCCAAGAGTGATCAAAAAAAAAAAAACTGAGGTGTAATATAAAAATCCGGTTTCCTCTCACATTTCAAAAACACATATGGCAGGTTAATGGAGCACTCGAAATTGTCCCGAGGTGTGATTGTGAGCACGAATGGTTGTTCGTCTCTGTGTGCCCTGCGATTGGCTGGCAACCGGTTCAGGGTGTCCCCCGCCTACTGTCCGAAGACGGCTGGGATGGGCTCCGGCGACCCCCGCGACCCTCGTGAGGATAAAACAAATCAGAAAATGGATGGAGGGAGATCTGAATCTTGACTAAAAAAGACACGATGTGTCTTACACAATGTCCAAAGTATATTCTAACTTGACTTTAAAGTGATCAAATTCACTTTCTGGCTCTATCAAAAGGCAACGTCAAATCACTCAAAAATTTGAAAAACAGAAATCAAGATGATAGGAATCCATTTCCTTCATGGTCCTGCCTCACAGGGTCACATTTCAAACGTTTGGACTTCATACAAGAAACAAAGTTGGCAAATCTGAAAGTCTCCATGCTATTGAGTATTCGGTATATGATTATATGATATATAAGATATATGATTCAATGCATTATCTTTCATTACCTGGCAAAATATCGGACATTCTTGCGGACCTTTACGATGTCTTGCCCTCGAAAGAGCGACGTGCAGTCCGGCATGCATTCAATACGGATTCAACCCACTTTTTTTTAAATGATCATAGAAATGCTTAGCAACTCCAATAATTCAGCAGAATTATGATACAAGGTTGTAATTATTGACCGGTCCGCCTCTCACCTTTAATTGATGTCTGATGGAGGTACAGGCTAAAGTTAAGTGCTAAATTGTGCCATTTTACGATGGGTTTTTGTGATATTGCTTCGTGGGAATGGCATAACTGCATTATGTCACACTGGGACCCGTTTCTAATATTTTGGAGAGTAAATTACACTCCCTATTTCATCACAGCGCAGTGGAGGAATGTTTTTTTTTTCTCTTGAAGCGGCTGCCTTCTAATTTCTAACTTTAATGACAAAGTGAAAGTGGAAATTTACCACCGCTGACAGGAATTTTGCTTCTGGTGCGGCCGAGCTAAAGAAAAACAAGCAGATGCTCGCCCCGTGATTTTTTTTTGGGGGGTATGGCTCGGCCCGTCACTATTTCCCCCACTCACCGGATGTGAAGAGCACGATGGACTTGAGGCAGGAGTACTCGGCCGTGTCCACTTGGAGCGCCTTGAGCTTCTCCACCTGCTCCTGGAAGACGCGGATGTGGTCCATGAAGGCCACCACGCGCTCGGCCGACATGGGCGAGGCGTGCAGGCCGGCCGCCGCCAGCAGGGGCGCCACGTGCAGCGGCATGGAGCACTGCGCCGCGTTCAGGACGAACAGCTCGCTCCACGACATGCGCAGCAGCGCCACCTAGGAACAGGCAACCCTCATTACAGTGAGCCGCCAAAAGGTGAAAGCCAAGAAAGCGACACTATGATAAAATATTGATTTTTTTTTCAACATACAGTGGTACCTCTACTTATGAAATGAAGTGGTTCTGAAAGAAATTTTGTAACTAGAAAATGTTGTAAGTAGAGACGCGTTTTCAATGTAAATGCCTAATTCGTTCTAAGCCCCCCAAATTCAGACAAATGTTTTCTAAAGAATAAAAATGCATCAAAATATGTAACAAATACATTTACAATTTACATTTACAGTTACAATTAGATTATTGCACAATAAATGACAGTTGTGCATCATGTAAAAAACAAAGAATAGAGTGAAGAATAAAAATGATGGTCAATTTGCCCTTTTTAGTTCATGTTCTCTCTCAGAAGTGTTTTTTGCCTGGCGTTTTAAAGAACTGATCCAAGGACGTTTGCTTTTGTCACCTTTTAACAATACTTCGAAAATGTCCAAGGCAAACATCAGCATAGTGAGCAATCGCCCAATTGGTGAACACTTTTTCTGGGTGATTCACGTTTACATAAAACTATCAGAATGCCTCATGGCCCGAAAACTTTTTTACTTATATTGTCTTGACCATATTGTGTCCCAAATGAAGTTTCATATTTTGGCAAAAAGAGCGGAGAAGTTGTCTCAACGATGACTTGAAAGAAAAATGGAGGAAGGGCATTTGTGCGCGCACCTGATCCATGAGCTGCAGATCGGGGAAGAAGGGGATGTTCTTGGCCCACTCCACGGCGCTGAAGAGCAGGCGGGCGGCCAGCTCGCAGATGTTCTCGATGCCCATCAGGTTGTTGCCCTGCATGCACTGGGCGCCGTAACGCGACGTCGGGTAGGGCTCGGCGCGCAGCAGCAGCGAGATGAAGCCTGACAGGTAGGGCTGGCTGTTGTACGGGTCGGCGCCGTTGCTCAGGTACTGGCCCGGGCTACTTTGAGAGTTGGACGTGCGTCCTCGCTGGACGGCTGAGGGACAAAGCGGTACCGATTTGTCAGGTTCGGACGTGATGAACAAACACACGGTAAGAAAAACATATCGCCGTTTTGCGGTCTTGCAATTTCGGCTTTAAAAATCTATTTTGCTGAAACGTCCAGAGCACAACAAAAAAAAAATGTTTCTATTGAATGTGTACATGAGTAAACGTCAGGCTCACTGAGCGCCGGCCTTCAAACTGATGCAGATGATGGCAAGTGTTCGGAAAACACCTGTTCGTTGGTCTTGTGTTACACAAACATACGCAGGGGACTTCTGGTTGGGGGGGCGGGTGTCGGTGGGACTGAAACGCAGCTGCGCAAAGTCAAGCCGATGCGACAAGAGCGCAGCAGCGATGCTTTTAAACTTCTTGGAAGGAGAAGTTTCCTGATGGTGGAGCACCAGGCGCACGCCGCCTTCCAGGAACTAAAAGGGCACCTCCGGTCCAAACGAGGACACCGTGCCGTGTTAAAGCGTCACTTTTAAGAACCCTGTGTAACTATGGGACCTTGAGTTGTCGGCTTCAAAGTCATCGCAATGCCTGGTTTGCTCCATAACATGAACAACGGCTGCTATTGTCATTGGTGGTCCAGCCAGGACCGCTTCTGGCTTGCGAGAACAACACATTTGACCCAAGCAATCCTGGGAGCAATTTTAGCTATTCCATCGGGTTGCTTGAACCATAAAAAGCAACTTCCTGAGTTTTGCTTTTTTGACCAAAGGACAATAAAGATTGTTTTTAAAGCAACTCTACGTAATAATTTGAAACCATCACCACCACAACAAGGGAGGTCGATGCCATCCTGTTTTGAACTGACGCTCCCACGGCAACTGCCGATTGCTGACTTTGTGTTATCAGCAGATCAGCCAGAACGCCTGATAGCATCGATGCTAAAGCTACCGTTCAGTCATTCAAGTGTAAAATAATCCATCAGGCAGCAATAACAGCTTCTTCTTTGGGACTGCTTTTCGCTGCCGTTTAGCACACGTCCTTCCACGGGCTAAACGGCTGCCGTCATTTCACACACAAATACAATTAAATAAAAAAAATCTAAATTGGATTCCGTGACCAGTCGCGCAGCTCACGATTGAGTGCGAGCAACGAATGGTCTCTCATATGGGTGAGTGGTTAATCTCGCAGGCTGAGGAGAATGCACTCGACCGCTGGAAAGCGTCACTGAGAGGCCATGCGAGAAGCGGAAAGAGAGCTCCTTTTCTTCGCCATATAAAAAACAAACGGTGTCCTTTCTGCCAATGAGTTCATGGACCCTCCTGCCTGCTAAGTCGTCTTAAGAAAAAAAAAAGAAGAAATAAAGTGAAATGATGACATGCCCCACTTGTATGTGTTTGAAAGTAGTTTTTTGAAAGTTTCGAATGACCGCAGTAGTCGTGCTAATTTACATTAGCCTGTATACTGCACTCTGCATGATATGTTAGCATTAAGCTAATGGACCTGGAACTGGAAATAAATAAAATCAGAATACTCGATTCACAAAAAAGATGGAGATGTCAATTTTTGCATTCGAAGAGTCGGGAGGGGGCGCCATGACACACACAGACAAGAGAAAGCATCGCGTGCGCAACTTTAATTTTATTTTTAATTTTTTTGGCTGCGAGGGTGCTGTTGCCTGCGTCTCTCAGACTTTGATGAGGCACTTCCTGAATTAATTAGTAAAGCGAGTGGCTGACTATGATTCACGCTATGCTCACACACACACACACACACACACACACACACACACACACACACACACACACACTCACTCACTCCAAGACGGGGAAACGCACCAAACACGGCTATTTTTATACACGCTCGACCAAAACACGCTCGTCAGCTTGGAGTAGTGCCACTTGTCACGTCGTTTGTTTTCAAGTGCACGCAAACATGCCAGACCTTAGTCACCCAAATGTCAGCGCGCGCACCAGGAAGCTCAAATTGAAATCAAATCGACGGAAAGAAAGTGCAAAGATGGTCATGAAGGGAAAATCTGAAAAAAAAAAGCTGTTCAATTACACCTAATTACGAGATAGGGATTTTTATACAGCGTCGAGGGCTGGAACGATAAATCGATAAATAGTTAATGCAGTCAACAGACACCAACTAGATCAATCGCTGTGTTGGGAATAACGGCTAATACAGTCAACAGAGGGCAACTAATTAAATGGATGTGTTGGGAATTAAGACTTATTCCCTCCTATCCCGGATTGCAATAGAGATTCCGAGAAAAATAATAAATACTGAACAAATCAATGATGATAACGTTAGGCTCTGGGACCGCTATGTATTTTGGGGGAGGGGCTAAGATTGCTTCATACATAGTTGAACGGCAGGGCACCGTTGGCTTTATAATAATGATAATAAAAATCATAATAATAATTCGAAGGTTTTCCTTCTTCAGACATCAAACCAGGAAGAAGAAACTGAAAGGGAGAATGTGAGAAGGGGCACGCGGGGTTAGGTGTCGGAATTCGTCACAGGCTACAAAAGAGAGCTAACAACGGTTAGCGTCCTAGCGGTGGGACATGGTTCAGAGACCCCCCTCCACTCCATCTGTCCCCGCCCCGCTATGACGTGCCCTCATTTGGACTTTGGCCCCGGCTGTGTCTGCTCTGAATGTTTTACTTTTGCTTGACCTATATTCCGCACCGCTGTTGGCTCAATATGGGTCACGCACGGGAGGCGACCGGGCGAGTATCCCACTGCGCCCGCCGCTTCAATTTGGGGATGAACGCATTCTCACATAGATTCGGGTCGTTCCTTTCGTTTGTTTCGCTTTTCTCACATCTGTACTCCAAAAACGAAACGAGCGGTCCAAACGGCTAAACATTAACTTCCCTGTTCAAACAATAGGGGGGGAGAAGAAAGACAGCTCAACAGCAGCAGAAGCAAAAAAACAAACAAATGAAAACAAAAACAAAAAAAACCACCACCACCACCACAAAAAAAAAAGCCCGAGGCTCAGTGCTCAATCTCGTCCCATTTAAATGTCAAGTATGACCAAATAAAACGACAAGAGCCTGGTGAGTCTCTTGATGGGGAATGGAAAAGCGCCAAAGTGACAACCCGGCCGTGAAAAGCACACAAAGAGGCTGAGTTCAGAGCCCTGGGGAACCTCACGCCATCCACTTGACACCACTGGAGGTCTCCAGTTCAGTCACCCCACTTCATCTCGGATTCTGGCTTTGCAGTCCTGCTATTTGGGGGATTTTCTTGCTGGGGGGGGGGGGCAGTGTGTAACGACTATATTATTCTGCCGCAACTTTATTTTGGATGTAATTCCACCGACGACCACCATGGCATATTAACTTAAATATTTCTAGAATGACAACATTTCAAATCCTGGCATGAGCTTCCCATCTAGTTGTCAAACCAATTTATTCTTCTTCTTATTATTATTATTTTTTTTTATATAATCATAGCCTCCTGTGGTTTAATAAATTGATCTGCACAGCACAATACCTCAAATGTTTTCTCTAAAGGGCAACATTTGGAAGCCTGGCAGGAGTATCTTTGTTACTTTGGCTTCCCATCTAGTCGTCATGCCATCTTTTTGCTTCATATCCTCCTCTGTTTTATTTTGATAGTTTGCACATCATAATAACTCAGAGGTATTATTAAAGGTACCATACTAACCATAAAGGTTCAACTTTTGAAGCCCAGTGTGAGTGTTTATGTTTGTTACTTTGGCTTCCTGTCTAGTGGTCATGCCAACTTTTTGTTTGGTAGCCTTTGTCCAGTTCTCGCGGGCAAATGGAAAAACGGGGCAGGGAAAACAACCCCGCCTCGAGGGCCCACGCCGCTGAAGACACGCCTTCGCCCCCTAGTTTCGATGCCATCCAACGATATGAAGAGGCCAGACAAGCCCCTCGGGGCGGGTGGCAAGAAGGAGAAGAAATTCCAATCTTCTCCACGAGAAGAAGGTCATTAAACTTTTAGCGTGTCGACTGGAAAAGTCAAGGCGATATCAATCCAAACACTCGCACACGCAAATTCGTCGCACTTTGCAGCTGACGAACGCCTGCCGTATTTATGCGGATGGCTGCCCTGGGGGAGGTTCTGGTCAACACGTGGCTTGATGGCTGGCCAAACCAGCAAAATATTCCTGGAAGATCAGCAGTGGGAAATGAGAATGGGAAATACTTACTGACTGTACTCTGGTACATTTTTCACATCTCTGTACTTTTCTTGAGTCTATATTTTTTGTCCTGATCGTTTTACCATTGACGAGGGAGCATTCCATTCATCGTGCCAGCCAAAACGTAAGCTGAGAACGTTTCTCAACATAAAGTTTTGGGACTTCATCATCTATGCACCAGAATATCACCGAAAGCTTCAGAGAATCTGGAGAAAAATCTCTGAATGGAAGCAGCACGGTCCACAAACCAACAATGAACACCCGCGACCTTTGAACCCTTCAGGCGGCAGTGCAATAATAGCCTGCCGTCGTCATTGTGTTAAGGATATTGCCACGTTGGTTCGGAAGACTTCCGAAATATATCGTCCCCTCACGCACCTTTGTGGCCACAACTACGAATGAAAAACTGAAAACGCTATGATGCAAAGTGAAAACCACGTTAATTAACTGCATCCCAGAAACTGCCGCTAGCTTCTGTGGGCTCGAGCTCATCTGAGACGAACTGCGAAGTGGGAAAACGTGCTGTGGTCTGACGAGTCCACGATTCGAATTGGTTTGGGAACTCGTGGATGCTGCGTCGTCTGGGCCAAAGAGGAAAAGAAACATTCCGATTGTAATCAGTGCCAAGTTCAAAGCAAAAGCAAAAGTATAGGACAATATTAGTGTTTGTCGGTTGTGCCGTTTCAGCAGCGCACGTTTGCATGATCAGCGTTTCTATTTCCTGTAATGTCAGTGCTATTCAACTGTTGCCCGGAACGGTCACAGGGCACTTGTTTCTGCCCCACGGGGGGGGGGGGGGTTGTTTTTTTGACAAACCCAAACAATTCTTCTAAAAACATTGAGAAACATTCATTATTCGTTTTCCATGAAAAATGGGAGGAAACTGGGGGGGAAATCCCCTTAAAAATCGGAAAAACACAAATTGTAAAAGATATTTGAAAAAAAATCCGTAATTATGCGAATCCTGAGATGCCGAACTGCGAATATGCAGGGTTCAACTAGTTGTAAGCTGTAATATCACCAATCACCACTAGATGTCTTAGTCACGCTTCCACTGAGTATTTTACTGTCTGTCCCTCTATGATGTGGTAGGCCTCGTAGTTTTGGGCAGATTTGTAATGACCTGCAGAGCCAGCAGAGTCATACCTGAATAAAAATGACATTTGAGTAAGTTTATTTTTGGAGAAAAAAAACGTACAAAATGAGTTGTTACGCCTATTGTTGTTTTTTTGTTCGGCAATTTTGTCCTGTCCTTGAATGGTCTTTGGCACTGGAAAATAAAACACAGTGTTATTTTGCTGTTTACGTGAAAGCCTTTGTTGTTGGGTTAGGATAGTCGATCTTTTACAATTGCATTGAAACTTTCATTCGGAAAACTTAAATAGTCTGAGAATAAGTATTTTGCACGGATACAAATTTTTTGGGTCCATACTCAAAGTGGCATTTTTGTCCAACATCTGGTTGGGAAGTGTGTGTTCCAATTTGACACCTCCTAAGATTTTCTTAGTTTGTTATGTTTGTGTTTATGGTTATTTTATTTATTTTTTCACAGCTGCAGGGAAAGCGCTCCATAAACAAAGTTGACATGAGTTGAGTACTTTCAGCCACCTTGTGTACAATACGCACCAACAGTGCGAGACTTGGTGACAAGTCTCAAGTGCCAAGTCGATTCATGACGTCATCGATTAATCGACTTCAAGTGAATGTCTTCAAGTAAGCGTCGACTACAAAAATACAACAACAACAACAAAAATCAGGAGTAGTTCAAGCGCTGCCGTCTGCCGTCATCTGCCGCCGCTAGCGCCTCGCTTCAATTTGACGTGCATGTCGCCGTGAAATAATTGTGGCACCGCGCTCCAATATTCATGTTGACATTGTTTATTTTCCATGAAAGAAGCCGTAACAGTTGAAATGTGTGCTTCCTGTTTGGCAACACATCTATTTCTCCTTGGGGGGGGCCGGCGTCCGACAGAGAGCGAGTGTCGATAAACACCAATCGGGACGGCAAAGAGGATTTCGAGACAGACATTAATCCCGCTGACCTCAAACGCACCAGAACACCCCCCCCCTGCCCCCGCCACCCCTTTTTTATGTTAAAAAAAAATCTCAATTCACAGTAGATACATTTCAAATATTTGTGAAATTATCAATTGATGCTTACAACTGGGAAAAGTTTGTTGAAAATATCATTAAAAAAAAATTCTATCTGTGATCGGGGGTGTGCGTGTCTAATTGCAAATGGTGACTTGTCAGTGTTTGATTTTGAATTGTAAAAATTATCACTAAGGTTTTTTTTTTTTTTTTTTAAATGACACAACTGTTCTAAATTAGCATGTCACACATAAAAAGCCAAATTCTAATGAAAATGTAATCATGTCTGAAAAGTCTAATACTGTTGCCTCATCTTGACCTGACCACATTTTACTGTTTTTTTCGACCCACCAGTTTTTTTTTTTGTTTTTTTTTTAATGATGTTAATTATATAGCCTGTAAAATTCAGCTGCTCAAGTCATTGCAAAAAGTTGATGTAAAAAATTGTGTACAAAATAATGTTTGTTTTTTGGACAACATGTGACGAGGCTTCCATGCAAACACATGTTTTGCAAAGCCCCCCTGCCCCCCTTTAGGCCCACCTGCAAGACAATTTATTTTCTTTTGGATTTAGGTCTGGGTTCTCACTGGATTTAGAGCGACAACAACCTGGTTATAAAATACGGCAGCAGCTTTTTCATTGCTTCCCACCCCCCCCTCAAATTATGTAAATATCACAGTGAACAAATGTAGGACAAGGGCATCACCCACGCAACTTTGTAAATAGAAGTGGACTATAATATAATAGAGTTCTTTCATTGTCAATGGATATATACAGATTCGATTCTATTTATTTATTTGTTTTTTATGAGCTACAGTCTTTTCACTTTTCATTTCACGGCTCCCATTAAATTTTTGATCACATGACCAGATTCTGGCTGCTTTAAAAAAAAAAAAAATTATTGACCTTGATTTTTTTTTTCCTTGTTCTTGAAACCACACAGCTGATCAGGAGATTTCCTCGGGGACAAGCATGACCGAGGTCGTGTGGCTTGTGCCCGATGATCGAGATCTTGAACGCATGCACATGGCGAGCAAGCGCAGTGCGTGACCTGGAAAGCAGGCGGGAGCATTTCAGGTGACACCTCGCTCGCCTATGAATGAGGGGTTGAAAAAAAAAAAAGGCCGCTGTCTCTTTAAGAAGCACTTCCGAGGCGTCCTTGGGTGACCCCTGCCAACCCTTGGTGTCAAATTGGTAGCCCTGGAGCCGAACGGGGCCATTGGCTCATTTATTTGTCGCAAAAAAACCGCCCCAAAAAAACAAAAGTAAAATCTTGTTTTTTGCGAAACACAAATGTTTCTCTTTGTAGCACTTATGCGAAGGCGGGATAAAATTGGGAGCAGCGGTAGAAAAGCCACACATGCTCGGTTCTCTCCAGGTACTCGGGGAAAAGCGCAATAGAAAGGCAGATGGAAGCACACTGACGCGACTTTCCACAACTTCTGAAATGGGTATTGGTGTCAAAGGAGCACGTTGAAGTGATAAGTCTTGGCTGAGGGGTCTTTGCATGTCAGGGGGAAAGCCAAGTTTAGCCTGGATCGTAAGTGGAAGTGATGGAAAGTCTTGCAGTACGTTTTTTTTTTTAAATTTAAATCCAATCATTTATTTTGAAGGGCAATGTTGTCAGATGAGTTTGACTTGATATTCAAGTGTCATAGTGTGCACTACATTTGCAGTTTCAACTATTGACAGGGATGATAAGAAACCTTTTGAGCGGGTGTCATTTGTTTTGTCAATTGGTTTGTTTCCAGTGGATTGAAGCTACAGTCTGTATATAGAAGACCCACAGAAGTTTTGTGAGGTTTTTGAAATCAAAAGAAAAAAAAAATGACTGTAAAAAGAGTGCCAATTCATAATAATAAGGAATGAAAAGAGGTGCATTTGGAGGCAAATCACTCCCCCCCCACTCCTTTTTTCACCCAGTAACACGTTTGCTGCTACTCTGCATTTGGTGCCAAGTGACCTGTTGTTAATATAACACAAGAGCACCAATGTAGCAACAAATGTAGCACTGATGAGGTGGCGGCGGTGTCCTCTGTTTTGATTCTCGGGCGAAACAAGTGGGAGGGTCTGGCTGCCTATTTTCTTTTTTTTTTTTTTAAGATTTGGAAATAAAAAGTGCTGCTTATCTGTCCCTATGACAACCGACTTAATATATATTCATCATGAGGGGGGACGTGGCAACCCCACCCCCTGCCTTCATAAAGTTCAAAATGCACTCAGGTGTAATTAAGCCTTTAACAACCAAAACAAAAAAAGCAATTTTTTTTAAAACTTATGGCAGTTTGAATAAAAATCAACTTTTCTTCATAATTGAGACTCAATCTAACGGTTAAGAAGTCACTTGATGCTTAAAAAAAAAAAGAACATGTTGTCTTGAATAAATTCAGTTTAAAAGTTGCCTGCATGTTTGTCTTATTTAATTACTGGTGTGTTTGGGTTTTTTTTTTCTCAAAGCATGCAAATATTGCAAATATGATAAACCACCGCGAGATTTCACTTGCATGTGGGTGCAACGTCACACTTTTGCTTGGGTTCTGGCAACTGCTGGACACTCAACTGACGATTTTCTTGACGTGCTTAAGTGATTGGTCGAACGGAGGGTTGAAGGGTTAACGTCGGCGCGTTGCAAGAAACAAGAAAAGAAAGAAAGAGACAGACAGACAGACAGACAGAGCGAAAAGGCAGCCGCGTCCTGACCTTCTCTCCTCATGCCGACTTTGAGGCACTTTTTCAGGCGGCAGTACTGGCACTGGTTGCGGTGGTGCTGGTCGATGGGGCAGTCGCGGTTGCCGCGGCAGCTGTAGGACAGGTTCCGGCGCACGGAGCGCTTGAAGAAGCTCTTGCAGCCCTCGCACGTGAACTGCCCGTAGTGCTTTCCGCTCGACTTGTCCCCGCACACCATGCAGTCCACGTTGGGCAGCTTGTCCCCGGACAGCGCGTCGTTGCCCGGCGTGGAGCCGGCGGGCGTCCCGGGCGCGCCACCGCCGCCGCCTCCGCCCGGATCCTGGCCGCAAATCTGCAGCTGCGAGCCCGGCTCGGCGGAAATGCTCTCTGGCCACTGGTTTACTACCATTGCCATGCTATCCCGCGGACACTTTGAAAAAGCACGAGTGAGGACAACAAAACGAGCAAACGTGGGATCGGGGTTGTCCAAAAAAGACTTTCTTTCTGGTTCAAAGTTCACGAGAGGCGCGCAAGCGGCGAATCATGACCGAGGAGCGTCGGATGATGTCCCGGTGCTGCTGGCCGCCGCGCACCGATCCATAAACACGTCCTCCTCGTGGAAACACCGTCCCGGCAAGAAAAAAAAAAACACAAACGAGGCCAAATGAATAAAAGAAAAATCTTCAGCACGCCGACGAGGAAAGTCCAAACGATTCACGCTGGATTTCAACACATTTGGGGCCCCGCGAGTCCGACCCACGTCCACGTCGCGGTGGTTGCACTCGTCGATGGTGGTGGCGGGGTGGCCGCCTGACGAGTGTGTGCGCGCTCTCTAGCGTGCATGCAAGTAACACAACACACGCATGTCCACCGAACGCGCGTCGCCTCCCAGAGTC